ACGGCCGACAAATGGTCTTCCAGTGTCAGCCGTGGATCCAGGAGGACACCCAAGTTGCGTGCCCTCTCTGAGGGGGCCAGAGTCTCGCCCCCTATAGTCAGCGATGGAGTCAGCTGACTATGCCGGGGCGCCGGCAACCACAGCCACTCGGTCTTGGAAGGGTTGAGTCTGAGTCTGTTCCTCCCCATCCAGACCCGTTGCTATTTTGACCCCACTGCCTTATTGTCCTTAAGTCAACTGAGGCAGAATATAAATGGGTATTAAATAAACAATAAATAGGTAACCAAGTTAATACACTGGTTTTATATCGGTTATAAATCAAGCAATGTACAATTAAGTACAGGTGGTCCTTTTACTGACCACTCATTCAGTGACTGTTTAAGCTTATGATAGCAGTGAACAAGTGGTCGTTACAACAGGTCCTCAAAGTTCCAGCCATCAGTATCCCGAGGTCACATGTTCATGATTCGTGACCTTCCCTTCCCACTGAAGTCAGAAATCACAATCCTGTAAGGTGCTCAATCATTCATTCAATTTTTATAGCTGCCCGTCTTAGTCAATGACTCCGGGCAGCTTACAATTTAAAAAAACACACACATACATTACAATTAAAAATACTAAAAAGATTTTAAAATAATAACAACAGCAAAAAAATTATAAATCATCCAGATTAAATATACATAGGATCCAGGTACTTGGCCAATCTCTGAAGGGAGGATCTTCCATGGAGCAAGGGCACTGCAGGAAAAACTCATTTTCTGGTCCCTTCCAGCTGACACTTTTTGGCTGATGGGATCTGCAGCATACCCATTATTCTGCTCAATTTGGTCGGACTCTTGGAAAAAAGGTGATCCCTCAGGTACCCTGATCCAAAGCCACGTAGGGCTTTAAAGGTAACCACCAGAACTCTGAATTGTATCCAGAAACACATGAATAACTAATGCAGCTTATGCAGAAGTGGTATTACATGTGCGGTGTATCTGGCACCATTTACTACAAGCAGCATTCTGAACCAGTTGAAGTTTCCAAATGACCTTCAAGGGCAATCTCATTTAGACTCTAAACCAAGGGTTACAAGGGCATGAGTTATTGTGAGCAGGGCCTCCCGGTCCAGTTATGGGCACAACTGGCACACCACCCAAAGGTGTGTAAAGGCCCTCCTAGTCACAATTGCTACCTGCTCTTTCAGCAGGATCCACAAGTCCTGCATAGCACATATCTGGGGTAGTGCCACCCCATCCAGAATCAAAGATGGAAGAAATGTAAGAGATGAGCAGGCTGAGCCCGAGGGAGGGGTCAAACATGTCATAAGTCACGAGTCCCTGGGTGCACACAACAGATCTAAGTCCAGCCCACTTTAAATGCCTCTCTTATTTCCGCTTATTTCCCTTAAAGGCCAGTTGGTCAGATCCTTGTAGAAAGCTTAAGCTTGCAATAAATCTTTATATTCATTTGAACTGCCTGAATCTCCTGATTTCCCCGGTGCTTGACAAGAACCTTGTCTCTAGGGGGTTGAGAAAAACCAAGTTTGAATCCACTTTCAGCCATAGAAGCTCACTGATTACTTTGATCCACTGCCTATCTCTCAGCCTAGCTTACACTAAGGATTGTCGTAGGGAAAATTTGGAGGAGTAACTGTTACATGTACCACTATTGAGATCCTAGGAGAAATGTGAGATAGCAACCTAAAAAAGTAATAATAAAAAAAACAATAGCAACAACAGAATTGGATTGACGTGGATTCTGGATAAAGCGTCTGATGTAATGATGCCTACGTAGGGAAAGCAGACTATGAATTGGTTCCTCTTATTCATGCATTTTTTTAAAATGAACATTTAGCTGCCCTACAATGTTAATTTGGGCAAACAAAAGCCTTTATTTTGACATCTCATAGGAAGCGAACAGAACGGATTATACAAAAAGATACACCCATCAACCAGATGCTTGCTTGAGCAAATGAGATGGTGAAACAGGTTGATTTCCGAGATGAAACTGAATAGAATAAAGACTTTAACAACATTTCATACTCTGCTGTAACTGCCATGGTTTTTAGGTAAAGCAAATTGAGGGGGGGTTACCTTAAGGAGAAAAGAAAACCAAGAAACAAAATCTCTTACATCCCAGCCCTATGCCATTTACTTATCCATTTCCCACCTTATTTATTATTTGCTTAGTTAAGTGGTGAACATACCTAATATCTTTCTTCCTCTTATTTTCCCTGCAGCAACAACCTTGTAAGGTGGGTTGGGCTGAGAGAGAGTGACTGGCCCAAAGTCACCCAGCCAGTTTTTCATAGCTAAGATGGGATTAGAACACACACCCTCTTGATTTCTAGGCTGAACAAACTCAATTTACACACAAGCAATCTCAGGCATTCATGCAAGATGTCCACATCCTACTATGTAACAACCACTCAAGTCTGTCAAATGGCCAGGGGCATTTGGAGTAAAAAAAAAAACTAAAAACCCCAAAGTGCATATTAGTGTTCAAAGCAATCACTAATTTTATGCAAATAGCCTCCTGCAAACACTGCTCAAACAGAAGCCTTCTAGATAAACGCACAGCTAGGATGTTTTAGGACACACCTCAGTATGTTTAATGTAAATTTAAGGACAAAGGCAAACAAGTTAAAGAGACAGCCTTTATGTCCAGTTTGTGATAAAATCATATCAATTTACTTATCAGTCCTTTCCACATAAGTTCCACGTCATTTGAACAATTAGACGCATATAAAAAGTACATTTGTATATATGCAGTCTTTTGTACTGGCACAAAACCATCACTGGGCAACTAATGTATCCCTTGAACTGAGAAGTTTGGACACACTAAAGAATTTTAACTGACATTAAATTAATTAACTGAAGAGAATGTTTCCGTGCAGACTTCATGATTTTGTGAGAGGAAGAAGGCTGCCTCTTGTGACAAACTGATTTAACAGCACAATACAAATTTAGCCTTTTTTCTTTATACTGCCTTTTTTCTTCATGGCCTCCTCCAATCCTTGAGAAGATACAAAAGCGTTCCTGGTCTCCAGACCACCATAGTTTATGGTGTGGACTTGAAGATTTGTTTCTCTTACAAAAACTAAGCAAGGCAATCATTCTACCTCAGATTCACCACAAAAGTTATCAATTCACCACAGACCTTACCTTTACTACAGAATGTTCTACCCGAGGGATGCTGATCATAGACATCTGTCCCAGATTGTCCAAGTGTGACTGTTCATGTTCTGGTTGTCTACCTCTAAAATTATTAACCACACATACCACCTAGAAAGAGAAGAAAGTTCTTAGATACTATGAAGCCATTATGTTATCTTGGTCTTCACGGAAATACCATTATAATTAAACTGTACAGTTTCCAAAATATATTCATCCCTTCAAAAGTTGTAATTTAAATACACTGTAACTTTAGGTAATTATAAAGCCAGTCTAGTGGAAGTGGAATTCGCCATGTTATTCCTGGTGCTTAAAACAAAGTTTTCAAACACTTAGGTGATATTTCCAAACTAATATAACTTGCAGAGGATGCAGTTTGATAGAATGTGACCTTAAAAACTGAACATCTTTAAATTAAAATAGAAACATGTCAGTGTAAGAACTGATACTGATGATGCTGGAATCCTGGATTCTCAGGCTCCAGAAAGTCATTTTATAAACAAGGGACTGATAATCTTGGAAAGAAACAACTCACTGAATATAGAATCAAAAATGCAAGAGAAAGAAGCCATGTCCACATGGAAATGATAGTGACAGTAATAAAAAGAGCTCTTTAAAAATTACTCTCTGAATAGAACGGTCTAATAGTAAAAAGCTCATAGATGGAATAATGCAATACCATACGATTACTTTAGCTGGATAAGGCAAAATAAACAGTTGTATTTACTGAAATTTGTCATTATGCAAATAGCCTGTATTCTGATGGATTAATGAAATGGTGGATCCTACAAACAGTCAGACATGTAACAGGTAGAAAAATGTGAAGCTGATACATACCAAAAACACCGCTATTGAAATACCGACTAGAAATCCTGCTATCACATCTGACCAGTGATTTCGATATTCCGCTACTCTGTTGATACCAGCGAGAAATGCCATACACATTATGCTCAAGCAAAGGACTGGTTTTGCCAGCCTGGTCCCTCTAGCCTTTATTGTGTGGGTGATGTACATCTAGGAATAAAAAAAAATTAAAAAAAGATAACAAAAATAAATGCAACGCAATATCCATCAGTTTTCATCTAGTTATGGAGGAATTTGAATAATTGTCCCCACTTTGGATGAGTAATGATTTTTTTAAAAATCATATAAATAAACATTTACGCCAGGAATCCAAATAAGCTATTGATTTATTTACTGGATTTCTACCCTGCTTTCGGACTGAAATCAATTGCAACCTTGAAAATGATGCTTTTTTGGCCCCACCCGCACCCCCTGGTTGAGACCGGTGATAAATAATCCTACAGAAACGGACACAATCCATGATGAGTGAGAACCAGGCACAGGTAATTCTCAACTTACAAACACAATTCAGCCCAACATTTCTGCTGATGAGCAAAAAAAAAGTTGTTAACTGGGTTTTGCCCCATTTTATGACCTTTCTTGTCACAGTTATTGAATCCCTCTAGTTGTTAAGTTATTAACCTAGTTGTTGAAGTGAATCTGGCTTCCCTGTTGACTTTGCTTGTCAGAATGTTACAAAAGATGGGTCACGTGACCTTGAGACACTGCAACCCTCATAAACACATGCTGGTTGTCAAGACCGAATTTTGATCATGTGACAACAGGGATGCTTCAACAGTCGTTAAGTGTGAAAAACAGTGTACTGAGTCACTTTTTTCAGTGCTGTTTTTTTAAAAACTTTTTTAAGTCGCTAAATGAATGGTTATAACTCAAGGGCCGCCTGTATCGTTATCACATTCCTCATTTGTGTTAGACTCCTCCCATTTCCCACAATGCATTTGGTGGCACAGTTCTCAGTGCATAGAGATTAAGAGTTATGCCTATCTGGGTTTATTTATATACATGGCCAAAATAATACCACACAAACAGATAATTTCCTTGAATAATTTGAACGCATAATAAACTAACAAGGAATTCTGAAAATAACAAGAAAAACGAATCCTGCTTTTGTATCTAATACCTTTGAGGCACATTTAGCAATACTGGAGAGGAAAGGCACTTTTTTACTTGCATTTTCATGTACACTCGGTGCAATTAACATTAGGCAACCGTGTTGTGTGCAGACAAGTGCGATTGAAATTGTTCAGTTAATGAAAAATATTTATGCTGGCTAAATATCTCGCAAGACATAGTCTAGCTAGCTAGCTAGCAATCTTGTCAGAGTTTTATGGCCATCATCCAACACTGCTGCACTTTAAAGCGAAATGAATAGATTGAAAGCTCAGAATTCCAATAAATTAGAACTTAACTCTTTTCTTTATTGTTTGGCAAAAATGTGTTCACTGTAGGCAAGAATTAAAAATAAATAGCAAAGTACTATGAGATACATGTTGGTGGTTTGCTGTTTCCAGTCACCAGATGGAACATAGGTACAAAATTTGTCTTTCTTGATTTTGATTATTTTTTTTATGCCCAGATACTTGCTTAATTCTAATAAAAATCCAGTGAAAGACACTATCGTTCCAGTTTTATATGTGATAAATTGAAAACAAGCTACAGATGCATTGCAGATGTTTTAGTAACAATATTTATATCACACTTAAAACCTAGCATGAACAGAAATAAAGGAATATACACAAAGTAGACATATTTAAAAAAAACTTAGGCAACTATATTTAAGGGAATAATGGAATACCAAATAGATAATCACCTCATAATAAAAGAATAAACTTGATATGCAAAAACTACTAACAGCGTATACTAGTTAAAGCAAGTAAATGATGGAACTGCACCATTAGAAAAAAAATAAAGCAAGCACACTGTAAAGGAGGCTGCTTGGAAAGCAAAACAGTACTTAAAAAACAAGTTCCTACTAAACTATCAAGATCACAAGAGGTATTAGTACCGCTTTATAAAACTCTAGTGAGACCACACCTGGAATACTGCAGCCAATTTTGGTCATCATATCACAAAAAAGATGTTGAGAGTTTGGAAAAAATTCAGAGAAGAGCAACTAAGATGATCAAAGGCCTGGAGACTAAAACATACGAAGAACAGCTACGGGACTTGGGCTTGGCTAGTCTAAAGAAAAGAAGAAACAGGGGTGACATGATAGCAGTATTCCAATATTTGAGGGGCTGCCACAAAGATGAGGGGGTCACGTTATTCTCCAAAGAACTAGAGGGCAGGACAAGAAACAATGGTTGGAAACTGAACAAAGAGAGAAGCAAGCTGGAATTAAGGAGAAACTTCCTGACAGTGAGGACAATTAACCAGTGGAACAGCCTGCCTCCAGAAATCATGGGTGCTCCATCACTGGAGGTTTTTAAGAAGAGGCTAGACAGTCACTTGTCTAAGATGGTATAGGTCAGTGGTGGCGAACCTATGGCACGGGTGCCAGAGGCGGCAATCAGAGCCCTCTCTGTGGGCACGCATGCTGTCGTCCCAGTCCTAGGCCTTCAGCTGGGTTTTATAAAACCTTTTCGCTTTAGGCCTCCACCGCCATGTGCAAAAAAAAAAAAAGGTTCAATCAGTCAATTTCAACTTCTCGCGGGAAAAAAAAAGATCTTGCAAAGTTGGAATTGATTGATTGAACTTTTTAGTCCCATCCAGTCTGCCGTTACCACTGCAGCCACACCCACCCAATTAGCCACACCCACCCAATTGGCCACGCCCAGCCAATGGGCCATACCCACCCGGCACTCGACGATACATAAGTGGGTTTTGGATTGCAATTTGGGCACTCAGTCTCTAAAAGGTTCGCCATCACTGGTATAGGTTCTCCTGCTTAAGCGGGGGGCTGGACTAGAAGACCTCCAAGATCCCTTCCAGCTCTATTCTATTCAAACTATTCAAATTCAGACCATCCATAACTGGGTTATTAAAGCCAAAGGCCTGTGGATTATGCTATTCTTCCACTCAGGATAAAAGGGTGCGGTAAGACTAGTTTGGTTGAAGAGGCAATCCTTCCTCTACAAAGTGGCAGATATGCCTTGCTGAAGTTATGTGCAGCAAACTGGAAATGCTCTAATCCAAATGGATGGGAACATTCAAGCCAATGTAGGGAGAGAAAGTATAGCAAAATCAATAAAAGGTGATATCCATTTCTGCCCTCCAGAAATGGTTGCCCGCCAGTTTTGCCAAGGGGATAAGAGAAATGTCCAGATCTGTTAAGAACTGCAATCTGAATCAAGGTTTTCCAGCGGCATGATTGACATCACTCTTAATACACTCCTGAAATTACAGTTACTTGCTGCTAAGCCAAATAGCAAGCTTGACAGAGCAATAGAGGCCCATTAATGTTCATTTCAGACCTCTTTCTTTCTTCCCAGCTTGCTTGAGAAAAGGTGATGTAGTTAGACCCCGAGCAATTTATTATTGCTTCCTATGCAAAGTACTCACAGCTAAGCTGGAAACTTCCTTAATATTTTTATCTTTATTGCAAGGCTGCTTTAAACATATTCATGAGAAAGAGAGGGAGGAGGAGACAGGTAATGGTAATTAATGTTAAAATCCCAGACCCTTATGGGGCAGGACACCTAATCATTCTGCTTATAACATTTCTGCTTTAAAAAAAAAAGGAGGGGGGAGAAAGAAAGAGAGAAAAATTAGGTGTATCTTGTCTGAAAGTGCTGAAGCTCACCACCTGCTTGTGAAATAAAGCTTTTTATGAACAGCAAGCTATCGAAAATAAGTCTGCCTAAAATTGCCAGAATAAATCAGTGGTTAAAAAAAGACTGCATCCTAAATCACACCCTTCCATCTTCTTCCCCTCATTTGGAAGGCAACGTGATTTTCACTTCACAGTTCTTCTTTCATCTCTTCCATTCAAATTGCAGCAGACACTCCCTCTCTGCCAGGTTAGGTTGGAATACTGATGAGTTAAGAACGCGGTTCTCGTCTCCACGAAGAGCTAGTCTACCAATAAACTCTCAAACCACATTAGAGATGGATTCCTCAAGGTCTGAATTTAAGACAACTCCATTCTTTAAGGAGACATCACACCAGCTAAGGTTCACCATGGTATCTTGTAGCAAAGTAAACAAGTGTGAAAATAAATTTTTGTTTTTAAACGGTCTCTGTATAAAGTTGACGCCCCTTGGCTGTTCCCTATTGCTCAGGAATTGTTTTGTCCATGCCTTAAAATATTGCGGGAACAAACAAATGTGGATTAGGTAGTCAATGACCTCTCCAGTAGAAGTAATAGAGGAGTAATTGCCAGTCAATAAAAAAAAAAAAAGCAACAGCCTGTGAAAATGCTTTTCCAGCTGCTGACTTATCCACAGTTGTCTGATGCTCTTTACACTTACAAAGGCTTATTTTCTCACTACTAAATTCTACTCTAGGGCTTGCTACAGAGCAGCGTGCAGTAGATGGGACTGCAATCTGCAGAAAACAACCTGCAAAGATTTGCCTATCCACAGTCAAACTACTTTTCAGCTTTGTCACAATTAAAAAAAATCTTATTTCTATGCATCTAATAAATCAGGGGTCCCCAACCCCCGGTCCATGGACCGGTACCGGGCCGCAGCATGCCAGCAACCAGTCTGCACAAACAAGCAAAGCCCCATCCTCGAGATGCAGGCAGCACACAAAACCACGCCCCCTCCGGTCCGCGAAAAAACCTCTCTCCACGGAACCGGTCCCTGGTGCCCAAAAGGTTGGGGACCTCTGCACTGGAGCATGAAGTTGTCCGAAGACTTCAGCTAGTTAACTGGGCTCCATTACAAGCGTCCTTTTTCCATTGTGTTTAGATTTTCTCTCTCTCCCAATTCTGGGCTGTATCAACAGACTTATTCTCAGGGGTTTTTGTTTTGCCCACATGACAAAGAAAGATGCTTTGGTTATTTTCCCTTTTAAAAATGTCTTTAAATCATGAGGTTCATGTAGGAGAAGGAGTGGCGGAACCTGGGAGCAGAGTTATGAAGTTAGTTGAGAAGATTCCTGTGTATAGGCTTTCAGCAATAAAGCAGTTTAATTGGACCATGCACAGACCAGATCTTTCATGCCTGATAGTTCACCAGCTATACTGATAACTCCCACAACAACAA